GCCAATGCTGAGCACATGGTCTTTTCTGTACAGATAGGAAGGAGAGCTTCTAGAATATTCCAAATGCTCACACTGTCAGTGTGAGCTCCTCAGTGTCCAACACCTGCAACATAATACCTCTCAGAGGAAAGGCCTTCCTGGGATGGAATCACTTTATCTTTGAGTCATGCTTAATGTCCTTCACAATTTTCTCCCTCCTTTGTAATGATAGTGACGTAAGTAGCCTATGTGGACACCATTTTACAGTTCACAAACTGGCCATCTGTTGCTGCTTATCATCTCGTCTTTACAAATGAGGAATCCAAGAGGCTTGTTCAGTATCTCCTCGGCTAAGCCTTCATCTACTTGGGCATTTTTATAACAAATATCAGTGAGCATCTCTTTCCATGGCCTGTGTTAGCAGCTTAGCTAGGAGAATAGTGAGATCTGGACCACCCAGAGAGTTCCCACAGCAGAATGGGAGGTTAGGAAGCAGGGTCAGGCCAACAAGTGCATGAAATGTTGGAACAATACACTTTCTCAGGGCCAGATTTGACATGAATGAGGGCTCTCTGTCAGGGGTGGCTTGTTGCAGGGAAGGTGTGATCACTCACGCTCCATGTACTCTTTCTCTCCAGTGAGCAGTTCTTCCTTTCAGCAAGGCTCTATTTGCTGCCCTTGACATTGGTTCCTGGGAGTGTCCTGGGTCTCCATTTACTTGACCCACAGCCCACCACTGAAACAGCCCCTTCTTATTGGAGAAGTACAAATCTTTGTTCCACTGGACCCCCAAAGGGTATCACAGAATACTCAGTTCCAACCATTTTGTCAAAGGCAATCTTTCATGTAATTCCAAAGTTAAATAGATTAACAGAGAATTGGCACTCTGTTCATTTGTTTGTTTTGTGAAGTATGGTCTCTCTATGTAGTCCTGGCTGTCCTGGAACTCTCTATGTAGACCAGACTGTCCTTGAGCTCACAGAGACCTACCACCTCTGCCTTCTGAGTACCGTGATGAAAGGTATGTACCACCACATCCATCTAGGTGCTTTGTTTCAAGATGGTGTGTTGAGTTCAGAATCTTCTGTTCAGCATTCCCCTTACTGCTCTGCTGCAATTTCCCCTGGAACAAGTCTCTGGAAACCCAGGGTTGACAGAATACATTTCCAAAACCAGCAGCTGGCTTTACTACTCATCATGGGACCTGCTTGCCATGGGCCCCTTCACCAATGGTGTTATTACAGAGTGTTCTTCCTCCCGTGCTCCAAATCCCTCCTTTCCACTAAGACAAAAACTGGAATCTTAGACATCACAGTGACTCTTCTCCCCTTGAACTAGCAACACCAGGTCCCTGGGTCAGCCTTTTACTCACCGTCCTGTGTCTGTTCTGTCCATCTTTCTCAGTGTTTATGGACATGGAGCTTTGTTCCCAAATGAGAATGGTCTGAGAAAGTTGCTCAAGAATGTACTACTAGTAGTAGTAGTCTCTAATCCTAGCAGTTTGGAGGCCAAGGCATGAAGACGGCGAGGTTGAGGCCAGCCTGGGCTATATAGTGAGACCTTGTCTCAAGAATGAAACCATAACCCAAAGCAAACAAGTGTCCCTGACAGGATCCTGGATCATCATAAGGTGTGATATACTCCTGTCCTGAACAATGAAGTGAGATAAAGAGGAGATCTGGGCCAGCAGGCCTTTCTACACTGGCCAAGTCCCCATAAGCCCTTAGGGGAACTTAGATGATGAGCCATTTACTCTGTGTACAGGTGGACCTGGTGCTGCAAGTAGGTGATAGAGAGGAAGGGGATGAGCCATGTGTGAATCATAGAGGTGGCTAGGCTCGGACAGCCCATCTCTGCCCCAAAGTTACCTTCAGTTGGCATTTGGGACAAGTCACCCTCCCTGTTTAGAAGATGACTACACCTCCTCCGTGCCAATAGTATGAAAGCCAGACTCTCTGTGTGGGGTCCCAGGCTGTTTTACAGACTGACCCTGATACCCTTTTCAGCCCCCTTTCTCATGGACCCTTCACAGAACCAAGAATCTAACCAAGCAGGTGAGCGGCACTCAGCATCCACCCCGGGGTTCCTTCAGAGCTGTGTGACTCAGGACCCGATGCAGGAAGGACTCTAAGCCAGAGAAAGGCTCATGGCAGATACTCAGCAATAGAACTTGCCCCTTGAGGCATCTGAGCATCACAAAGGAGGAGGTCCCAGGGACCTCTGTTTTGGGAGAGACATCATGTTACAAGTCTCTAAGACCTACCCACGTCTCACGTCTCATCAACTTCACCTATAGCTAACTCAGCACGAGGCACCACTGTGCACCAGAGGATTCTTGAAATAGCCCTTCAAAGATCCTCTCTGTCTTCCCTACCCCTTCAAAAATATAAGCCAGTCCTCTCTTTTCTGCTCAGGACCCTTCACTAATTCCCCATTTTGAAAAGCGAAGTCCATACCTTGGCTTACAAGGCCTTTCTGAGCTCTACCAGTCTCATCAGCCTCCCGCCCCCAGTTCCTGTCGCAGGTTTGTCCCGTGGCTCCTTGCTGCTCCTGGAAACCTGCCAAGCACACCTTATTTCAAGGGCTGGGTGCTGACTGGTCCCTCTGCCTGGATCCTTAGCTACATGGATCCATAGCTGCTTCATCTCTTTCAAGCCTGCGCTCAAGAGCTCTCTTTACAGTGTGGCCCCCCACACTATTCACTTTGAAACCAGAAAGCCTGCTGCTCTTCCTACCCAGGCCCTTCTCAGTCTGGGAAAAATCAGCACATGGTATCGTCCCCGCTCTGCTCCAACTTGGATCACCTTCCACTCTAATTAAGTAATTAATTTCAGTCATCTGTCTTCCCTCACCAGAATGTAAACTTCTCAAGAGCACTGATTTGTTTTGGTTTAGTTTCTTCACTGCTACAACCCAGCTGTGCAGACCAGTGCCCAGCACATACTATGCCATCAGTGATTGTGTTGCCCGAGAAAACCCTCCCAGTCATTCACTCTTCATACACTTCTTATACACGTGTGGCTGGATTGAGACACCTTCATATTCTACATTGTCACTGCATACACACTTGGAGATGTTACCAACTGACAGGGATGTATAACAAACACGATGACAACTACATGCATATCTACTTTTCTTTTTTTTTTCCGGAGCTGAGGATTGAACCCAGGGCCTTGCGCTTGCTAGGCAAGTGCTCTACCACTGAGCTAAATAACCAACCCCGCATATCTACTTTTATACATATATCTCCACGTGTAAGTGATGAGAGTACGTGCATTGAGAACTCAGATTTTAAAATTGATTTATTTTTACTATGACTTTAAAGGAACTTTAAATAAAATTCAATTATAAAAAGTTGAACCTAGGGGACAGTTCAGAGAACCATGTGTGAACCTGCCACCTAGATTGTGCAGATAACATTTTGGCCTGTTTTACTTGTCGCCTAGCTGTCCACCAATCCATTCCCTCTGTCTACCTATAATACACTCTGGGCACATTGAAAATAAATTGCAAACATCATAGTCGGCTCCCCAAGCACATCAGCATCAATACAGGTTCAATATTTGTTCATTTTTAGGTAAAATTTACATGTGGTGAAATGCAGAAATTGTAGAAAATCTATGTCTTGTATTTATAAGACCATTTTCATTCCATTTATTTATTTATTCTGTTGGGCTGGGGCACATGCCAAGGCACATCTTTGGAAGTCAGAGGACAACTTAAAGGAGTCAGTTCTCTCTGTCACACAGGTCCCAGGGATTGAACTCAGGGTGCCAGCCTTGGTGATGCGCACCTCTACCTGCCGAACTATCTTATCAGCCTGATTCATTGTATTTGTTTTTCTGAAACAGGGTTTCTCTGTGTAGTTTTGGTGGCTGTCCTGGATCTTGCTCTGTAGACCAGGCTGGCCTCGAACTCACAGAGATCCACCTGACTCTGCCTCCCGAGTGCTGGGATTAAAGGCGTGCACCACTGCCACCCGACCAACTCATCGTACTTTTTAAAGTTATTTTTTAAAGATTTACTTATTTTATGTGCGTGAGTGTGTGGTTGTGTGTGTGTCTTTGCACCACCTGAAAGCCTGGTGCCCAAGGAAGTCAGAAGAGCGGGTCGGATCCCCTGGAACTGGAGTTATGGACAGTTACGGGCTGCCATGTGGGTGCTGGGAATTGGACCTGGGTCCTCTACAAGAACAACAAGTGCTCTTAACCATTGAGCCATCTCCCCAGCCCCCCTCATTCACTGTATTTTGACATCTGCTTTTGCTATTTGCAACTCAAAATCTCATCAAGATAATGAGAACGTTAATGCCCCCCCCAATTCCATCAAATTACTTCTCAATTAATCCTTAGCAGATGCAACAACTGCTGATTTTTCATGGTAGACAAGCTTTGTCTATTCGAAAACTTCCCCAACACAGAACAACACAGTACGCACTACCAGTTGTCTACTCATTCAATAGGGAATTTGCTCGGCACCCACTGTCTGCTCACAGTTCTGCATGTAATGGCTTCACTTCACTGTGATGACCTGAAGGCCAAAGGTAGGTCTGGCTTGTGACCTCATCAGCCCTCCAGCTATGTTCTTACCAAGATTATCAACAGTTGGGCCTACAGAGATGTAGGCCCCGAGTCTGTCCCATGTGAGTCCAGGATTTTGTCCTGCCCACACCTCTCCCATTTTCAGATTTGGGCTTGGCAGCCTCTCACCAGCCCCATCCCACCCACTCACTTCCCACATCAGGGCTTCAACCACTCTCCAGGTGTACAGTGGGGGTGTCACAATCTTAACCCAGGCTGAAGTCAAGTGGGTAAGAGTGCAGGCAGGTAGGCAGCTGGAAGGAAATGGACAAGCAGAGGCGGTGGGAGGCCCTGCAGTCCTGTGGAAAGGTGGGGCAAGGGGCGGAGACTATACAACAGCTGGAAAAGAAAGCCAGAGAGAGGAAACATGGCAAGCCCTAGAGCAGTCAGGGCTGGACCGCTGAACAGCGTTTACCCGGAGCTACGGAGATTCTGGACATAATGTTCTGGCCCACTAGGAAGAACATCAAGACTGCCCTGGAGGTCTTTGCTCTTTTCCAGTGGGCCCTCAGTGTCTTGGTTATAGGTGAGTCTTCAAGCTACTTAGGGGCATCTAACTACATGGGCTTGCCTTGTATTGAAGGTTCTAGGGTAGTAGGATGCTCTCTGTTCAAAATTTGTGTTGTTCTAGGCAAAGCAGAACGCTATTTACCCTGGCCTGTGGCCTCACCCCCTGGGCTGGGTATTTGTGACCACATGGACATGGGCACGGACATGCATGTGTCTGCAGGGCTGTGTGTGTGTGTGTGTGTGTGTGTGTGTGCGCGTGTGCGCGCGCGCGTGCCTTGCTTTAGGTTTGCCTAGTGAGCACCACCAGGTCTACACTGAGATGTAGAGGCCATGTTATGGAATCATAGCAAATAAGTTCACTGAAGTCAGCCAAAGAGAAGGATGTAGCTGTAACCACAGGAAATCAAGCCAACTGTGATGAAAGAGGTGGCTTTATGGCAGAGAGAGTCTTTAGAAACCTGTTGCCGAGAGGAATTCAACCACGTTTCCACCATTTTTCAGCATCTATACCATTGGCCCTTCATGAAAATTACATGTTGGTCATGGTGTTCTATATATTGGAACAAACCATCACTACAGGAGGGGGCCAAGAAAATTCTTGCTCGAACAGTAGTTCATATGAATACTGACAGGAGTCAAGGGCATGAATTAAATGACCTTGCCATGAAGACTATAGGCAGGCTCCGGGGACATGACCCTGGTACATTGGCATGCCAATGAATAGGATAGTGGGCATTTCTTACCTCAACCAGTCATCGGACTAGTGACACAGAGTAGGGGGGCCAAGAGTAAGTACCAGAGCCATCTAATACTAAATGACAGATGAGAGCAATCAGAACTGGAAGCAACCAGATAAAGGAATTCTTAAATATTATGTTGGCCCACGTATTTTCACATGTATTATTTCATTTTATATCAGCCTTACGAAGTATAAGCTACTATCATGTTAAAAAGTCATACTGATAGCTGCACATGTAATGCTAAATAATAGTCACATAGTGTTAGCTAAAGACACTGGCCGCTTTTTAAATGTCAAACAGTAGTCTCGTCACCATATGAGACTAATAATCTCCATTGTGTACACGAAGAGGTGAATTTCATGTAGCAAAAGTCGTTTGTTCAAGACCACAAGCTAGGCAGTGGAGGAGTTGTGAGCTCACAAAGGCTAACATTTCGTCTGAGAATGTCTTTGTCTTTTGCATCTGCTCACTGCTGATTGGGAGGTTGGGTGTGGAGCTTGGTGTGCACACTAGACTGGCAGACTAATGAGACTATGTTCTTGTTCACACTAAGTGCACCGAACAGGTGGGTAGGAGTCTCAGCTCACTGTGGACTTTTGTTCCGGTTATCGCAGGCACTGCCAATTGTATACAGAAAACGTAGCTTCAGGGTTTACCATAGTGTAGGAAAGGAAGTGGGTTGTCTTTCAAGTTCAGGGAAGGAAGTGTGTTGTCTTTCAAGTTCTTCTCCCGCCAGTCTTGGCTTGTTACTATCTTTCCACCTTTCCATCATTGCAACTGTGTTCCCATAAGACAGCCGAGTGCCCAAGGTCAAAGAGCTGAGTTTGAAGTAGGGAGGAGTGACTGACTGTTCATGGAAGGGCTAGGAAGCTTGTACCTTCAGGATGCCTTCTCGCCGTCCTCAATCCACTCACCAATCTCATGCCTCAGACATAACTGTGTTAGTTGTGTGTGTTTGTGTGTGTGTGTGTGTGTGTGTGTGTGTGTGTGTGTGTGTGTGTGTGTGTAGCCACAGATGATGGAGCTTATGAATGTGTATATAATGCATACATATATGAATGCACACACACACATATGTATATATACATATAGCTACGAGATATGCATATAATATAGGTGTTGAAAACAGTTCCTGAAGCCAAATTAACTGTTCAGATTCTAGCTCTACTCTTCATAAGCAACTTTTTAGCAAGTTGCTTATCCTCTTTCTTCGTAAAATGGGTGTACTTAGGGTATATTCATCCGGATACTCTAGGTGGAACCTAGTGCCTTAAGTGAACAAATGACCGTTTCTTGTTTGCCAAACAGGTGGTAGGAGTCTCAGCTCACTGTGGACTCTATTGTTGAGGTTGGTACAGGCACCACCGATTGTAACTGGAAAATGTAGCTTCAGGGATTACCACAGCATAGGAAGGGAAGCGAATGGAGAACCTATATGCAGTTCTAGCTACTGTGGATTGAAGTGATAAATAAGTCACAGTCTTATTTTGAACTTCCTTCATTACAAATGAGGTTGAGAATCTTTTTGTATATTCATCAGCAATTAGTTGTTTTTTTTTTTTTTGAAACAGGATCCCACTAGGTAGCCCTGGTTTGCCTAGAATTCACTATGTAGCCCAGGCTGACCTCAAATTTACCACCTGCTTCTACCTCTCAAGTGCTGGGTTTAAAGTTGTGTGCCACCACACTCAGCTTGAGTTGACTCCTGTAGGGCAAATTAAGAAACCAGTGAAGAAGGGATGAACCTTGGGGACAGTAAATAGGCACCACATGGAAAGACCAGGATGAATGAGAATTTGGAGTATTCAAAGGGCTGACAGTGATGCATTGAGATGGGAGTGAGCTCAGAATTGCTACTTAATATACTTTTCCTGAATGAAGGAAGGACAGAGGGAGGAGGAATTGGAGGAACAGATGGGGGAGGATTATCAAGAACACCGGAAACTGTTTAAAGGAGTTTGGCTTTTTTCTGCAAGGTCACGTGGAGCCAGGACAGGCTTTGGCACAGGGTGATGACATTCGGTTTGTGGTTTTGAAAGTCTATTTCAGCTCTTTGGAGTAAACTGATTACAAGGAGACAGAAAGGGACATGGCGATAGCTGTTTTGGCAGGCGGTTGAGAGAGGGTGGGAATTTGAACCAGGCCGGAAGTGATGGGGTTGGACAGAAGAAGGCTGTGAGACAGTCAAGGAATTGGAGAACAACTAGTATGATGTGAGGATTAAAAAAAGAACCACCAGTGAGAAAAAGAGAAAGCAAGATCAAGACCGCAGGTGCCAGCATGGGCTGGCAGAAGGGCAGGTGGTACAGAAACGGGTCAAGAATGGGTGAAACAGGGGTGAGCACATGGAGAAAGCTGTCCCCGAGGACCTGTACTTCAAATTTGGTTCTGTACTGGAAAGACAGGTAGTGTGGCAAGAGCTCTTGGTCCTGGTGACAGGAGATGTGAACACCAAAGCTGGCCCTTCTTCATCAATGGGACTGGGGTGTGTGTGTGTGTGTGTGTGTGTGTGTGTGTGTGTGTGTGTGTGTGTGTGTGTGTCCCTTCTCAGCCCTCCCAGTTCCTTTCCCTTGGTGGGGCACCATATCCATTTGGACCCCCGAAGACCTTGAGAGGAGACTTCCGTAAGAACTCTGAGGAGGAGAGGGAAGACAGCAACGGTTTGTGGAAGAGGAGCTATAAAGTTCAGCAATGAGAGTGGGAGATCCAGGATTCATTCCATCCTAGGCTGCTCCCCAGCCAGGCTCACAAGATATCTTTAGCTGTGCTTGGGTTTGAGCAAACCCTAAGAGAAATGAAGTGCTCTTTGGACTAGACCCACACCTCTCTTTAGTTATCCAAAAAGTTTTATGAGTCTCATGTCCAGAGTCTACAACTGCCAGCCTCAGCACTACGCATAACTCTGTACCCCAGGGGCATTTTGAAGTATGTTTCTTTTTTTTTTTTTTTTTTTTTTTTTTTTTTTTTGGTTTTTTCGAGACAGCGTTTCTCTGTATAGCTTTGTGCCTTTCCTGGAACTCACTTGGTAGCCCAGGCTGGCCTCGAACTCACAGAGATCCACCTGGCTCTGCCTCCCGAGTGCTGGGATTAAAGGCGTGCGCCACCACCGCCCGGCTGAAGTATGTTTCTTAAAAATACTTCTGAATTTTACTATTTGGAATTTCTGAGCACTGTTATTGTATGATGTAACAATTTTGGGCATTCTCTGTTGACTTTCCAACACAGGAAATTAGAATTGAGCTCTATATGATATTGCTTGAATATATTTACCTCTTCCTTCCAACGTTGTTATTATCTCACCTCCTCCTCCTCTGCCTGCTCTTTCTCCTTCTTCGAGACAGGGTCTCTACATAGCCCTGGCTATCCAGGAACTCACTATGTAGATGAGGTTGTCCTGGAACTCAGAAATGTGCCTGCCTCTTCCTCCCCAGCACCAGGCCCCTTCCAAAATTCTTATAGGACAGTTATGGTTAAATGTCTGACTACAATTAGGAAATAAGTGTACCAATATTGTATTTTCTTGTGTGGCTTGTTTTTTTCTTGGAACTAATAATAGACTCATTTTCATTCTTAATGAACAATTTTAAAGATTTATTTATTTTTACTGTATAGTATGAATGTTTTGCCTGCATCCATGTATGTACAGCATGTGCTTGCCTGTTGGATCCTCTGGAACTGGGGTTACAGATGGTTGTGAGCCATGATGTGAGTACTGGAAATCAAGTCCAGGTCCTCTGCAAGAGCAACAAGTACTTTTAATTGCTGAGCCACCTCTCCAGGCCCCTCAAATGTTCATTTACTAGATATCTTTTAGTTATTACTAATTTACCCACAAGCATTTCACACACATGGTAATCTTTCAATATGTGCAAACACATCGGGAATCTTTAATATTTCTCATGTTTTCTTTCCTTGAGGACAGCATTGCTGGAACCTAGCATCTCCCTTTCCAGTCTGGCCTTATGCACAGCTGTTATTACCAGAGTGCTTAAGGCAACGTAGGCAAAATTTAAGATACTCACTCTTGGGATATTCAAATGTTAGGCTGAACGTGAATGTAGCTAAGAGTGGGTGTCCCTTTCAATTTGTACCCTAGGAGACTTGCTTATTTATTTCCAGCCCTGCTCATGCTCAGTTTCCTCTTTCGTTGGACCTTTTCCCAGCATGGAATTTATGTCTTCTCCCTCATTTGGGTGTAGCATGTCATCCAGTAGTATTACTTGAGACTGTGTATCTGAAATTGTCCTCTCATCTGAGCAATTATTCTGCTGCATATAGAATCCTTCAGCTGGAGCTCATGTAAGTCCAGAAGTTCTCCAAATTACAGTAAGTTGTAAACACTATGAATCATGAATGCATTAGCCAGGCAAGGCATCTTATAACTATAATCCTGACACTTCAGAAGCTGAAGCAGGAGATTGCTGCAAGTTGAGGCCAGCTTGGGCTGTCATACTGTATTGTGAGACTGTCTCCAACCAACCAACCAACCAACCAACCAACCAACCAACCAACCAGAATACATTTGATACACTTCTTGTGTCCAACACCATAGTTTAGTAACATAGCACACTGCCCGTGTTGGTTGTGGATCCTTATGGTAGCGTGGCTGACTGGACGCTCTGGCTTGTCGCTGTTGTTCACCATACAAGAGAACAGCACCACATATTAGAGGCCAGGAAAAGGGCAAAATTCAGTGTCTGCTGGATTCCTGTTGCTTTTCTACCACTACAAAGGACAAAACATTGTAAGTTAAACTGTTACAAGTTGAAGACCACCTGTATCTGAGTCCAGAATAATTTTTTATTCTTTTCTCATACAATACATCCTGACCACAGTTTCCCCTCCCTCCACTCTTCCCAGTCCCCCCCCCCCAACCTGCCCTCTCCTTCAGATCTACTTCTTCAGTTCCCTTCAGAAAAGGGCAGGCCTCCCAGGGATATCAACTGAGCATGGCATAACAAGTTACAATAAGACTAGGCATGTACCATCATATCAAGGCAGGATGAGGCAATCCAGTAGGAAGAAAAGGGTCCCAAAAGCAGACAAAGGAGTCAGAGATACCCCCACTCCCCACTGTTAAGAGTCCCACCAGAACACCAAGCTACACAACCATAACATATATGCAGAGGACGTAGTGCAGACCCATGCAGGCTCTGTGAATCCAGAATCTTTTTGGTTCAGTTTTTCAGAGAATAATCCTTCCATTAACCATTTGCGTAGAGGAGAAAAGACTTAGTGTTCTAACGAATTTCTTGTCAGGAACTCATGTAGGCTTCTGCAGTTTGAGCCTGTGCCTCATCCTGGCCTCTTGGGACGCCTGAGGCTCCCGATTCAGAGTCTTTCCTGGAGGCGTCTCCACTGCAGTCCTTAGAGATCCACGTGCAGCTGCCTGTTACTTCTCCCTTCATCCGCTTTAGGAACAAACATTTTACTGCTCCCTCTCATCTACTGGTGGGACATTTCTGATTCTTCTTCTCTTTGTGGACCTGTATTCCTAAATATTTAAATCATTTTCATGAACTCCAATAAGAAGTGAAGACAAAATGTGTTCAATCTATTATGTTCAATTAGAAATGGTTTTTTTTTTATTATGTCTTTTGTCTTTTCTAACCTCTGTTTTGACCCATTTCCCACAGAATTTTACTCCCGGCTGCTCACATTTCCAGTAGGAATTTCAAGTGAATGTGGCACCCCGGAACTCTGTAGTCATTCTTTCCCATCTTACTTCAGCTGAGCACAGTCCTTTGTCTTATTCTAGTCCAGCCTTTCCCCCCCTTTCTTCCTTCTTTTGTGTGAAGATAGGTGTGAGCTTTCTCCATCATTGCCTCTACTGATGCCTTACAGCAGTGGTTCTCAACCTTCCTAATGCTGAGACTCTTTAATTCAGTTCCTCATGTTGTGCTGACTCCCCCAACCATAAAACTACTTTTGTTGCTACTTCATAACTATAATTTTGCTACTGTTAGGAATTGTAATGTAAATATCTGATATGTAGGACATCTGATATTTGACCCCCAAGGGGGGCCACTACACACAGGTTGAGAACCAGTGCCTTACAGGGAAGCTGTTGAGAAGAAAATATAAGTCAGCGAAAAGTGTTCTAAGAGTTCAAATACCCAGTGGCCATCAGTGGCTCCCTGTCCTTACCCACACTATGTGTAGAGCCCAGCACAGTGTTGGGGCAGGTTTGGGGGGGTGGGGGGTGGGAGGCCTGGTTGTTTGGAGCACAGTTATGAGGAACACATTTGTCTTCTAGACCCAAATCAGGTTCAGAAGGCCAAGGGGTACAAGGACATGTGGGCCACCTGTAAGTGTGGGGGCTGACTGTTGAGTGGGCCTTGTTCAGAGCGTGTGTGACTTTGGGGTGGACAGAACTCAGCAGGGGTAGTATGGAAATGAGGGACTGTTCCCAATTCATTGACTTGGGGCTGGCTTCTCTCTAGTAACCACTGTGATCCTTGTCAACCTCTACTTGGTGGTGTTCACATCGTACTGGCCTGCCACTGTGCTGATGCTCATCTGGCTGGCTTTTGACTGGAAGACCCCTGAGCGAGGTAAGGACCTGTTGGGATGCATTGTCATATGTTTCTCCTGCTACTTTCGTAATCCTGGGAGGCTCTGACCAATTCCCAGGCAGTCTGTCAGCCTATCCCTCCCTGGGCTAGGAAAGTTGAGAGAAGGGTTCCGTTTAGGGTCTTGGAAAGACCCATTTTGGAACTGGAGTTAGTAAGAGGAAGAGAGGGGTGGGTGTGGGTAGTGAGGCAGAGGTTGGGCCCATTCTAAGTTGTTCTTGATAGGCCTATTCCAGTTGCCATGGAAGAGGGCAGGCAAAGGTGACAGGACCCCGTGGTATCCCCCAGAGGCCCAGAAAAGGAGAGTGGACAGAGCTTGTCTGTGCTTTCAGGTGGCCGCCGGTTCACCTGTGTGAGGAGGTGGCGTCTGTGGAAACACTACTGTGATTACTTCCCAATCAAGGTGAGCCCGGGCCAGCATCTGGGGCAGGATTGGGGTACAGGGTACAACCACATGGGGGCCTGGGAAAGCGATGACCCCTGAAGATGCATGTTGCTCAGCCTGCATGCCTGGAACCCACAATCCTTTTTCTTCCAGTTCTCTAACCAAAAGAGGAGTTTCTTTCTTGGCCTTTATCTCCCATCTCCACTTTCCTCTACAGATCTTGAAGACACACGATATTTCCCCCAGCCACAACTACATCCTTGCCTGCCATCCTCATGGGCTCATGTCCCATTCATGCTTTGGCCACTTTGCCACTGAAACATCAGGCTTCACCAAGATCTTTCCTGGTATCACTCCTTATATGCTCACGCTAGGAGCCTTTTTCTGGGTACCTTTCCTCAGAGACTATGTAATGTCTACAGGTGAGTGGCCCCTAGGGCATACAACCACATAGAGAGGGCTACCCTAAGGAGAACCAGGGGATGTGTAAGAGCAATGTCAAATCGGGGATCTTTTCAGGTGCTAAACAGCTCTTCAGAATCACAGGCTGGAGAGGATGCTCCTTGCTTTCCTGCTTCTTAAAGAGGAAAGTGGGGAGGAATAGTTTATGGAGGTTGGGATGTAACCAAGCACCTGTTTGCTTTTTCTGCCCACCAGGGGCGTGCTCTGTGAGCCAAGCCTCCATGGACTTTCTGCTTACCCGTAAGGGCACAGGCAACATGCTTGTCGTGGTGGTTGGTGGCCTGGCTGAATGCAAACACAGCTGGCCAGGCTCTACTACCCTGGTCCTGAAGAAGCGGTATGGCTTTGTGCGCACGGCCCTTCGACATGGGTAAGGATAGCTGCAGGGGCATGGGGGTGGGAAGGATGTCCAAACGCCTAGCAGGGAAGAATACCAGGCTTTGCAGTATTTAAGAAGAGAAAGGAAGAAGTATGCAAACAATTGTTAATAAATAGAGCCATCATAAAAATATATACACAGTGTGTGTGTGTGTGTGTGTGTGTGTGTGTGTGTGTGTGTGTGTAGGCACATGCGAGTACATGTACATGCTAGAGCATGAGTTCCTGCATGTGGAGGACAGAGGTCAATTTGTATATTGTTCCTCAGGCTCAGTCCACTTTTTTTTTTTAAGACAGGATCTGTCACTGGCCTGGAATTTACCTAGTAGAGTAGCCTTAAAGATCCACCCATCTCCATTTCCCTAGCACGTGGATTACAGGCATGCCAGCACACCTGACGTTTTGTTTTTGTTTTTGGAGTATGGGTTCTGGGCATTGAACTCGGGTCCTCGTGCCTGCATGGAACTGGAAAGCACTTTACCAACTGAGCCAGCACCCCAGCCTTCCATATACAAATTATATTCCATTTTGTCAGTTAAAATAAAGGAAAGGACAAAGGAAAAGAAAACCCCGCTATGGGTTAGACTGGAGCCCGACAGGGTGTTGTCCAGGCCTTGCACTAGCCTAGTCTCTCATTCACGCCAGTCTCTCTGCAAAAGGACTATGGCTGCACCTCAGAGCAGAAAACAAACAAACAAACCAAACTTCTTACCATTGCAGGCTAAGGAGAAGAGACCAAATGAAATGGCCTTTGGGCATTATCTGACAATGATTCAGATTTGGGCATTCCAAGGAATCACTAGGCTTTCAGAAGCTTCTAGTTCAACCCTAAAGGCAGCCTGGCCTAGGCCATGGGCCATCATAGTCAGCTGGGACCTTTGTACAGCTGGATTTGAGGTCTAGGGAGCCTGTAGGCAGACCCAGGGGATACTGGTGTTCAGCACGTCTTCTTCAACAGGGTCCCTATCTTTCTGAGTATTTATTCAAGGACATGCTTTTCTTTTGCAGGGTGTCTCTAATCCCTGCTTATGTCTTTGGAGAGACAGACCTCTATGACCAGTATATTTTCACTCCCGGGGGCTTTATCAATCGCTTCCAGAAGTGGTTCCAGAAGATGGTACACGTCTACCCCTGTGCTTTCTATGGGCGTGGCTTTACCAAGAACTCCTGGGGCCTTCTGCCCTATTCTCAGCCAGTAACTACTGTTGGTGAGTGGGCCCTTCTATTGGAAGCCTTGGTTTAAGTTCTAGGATTCACTTCTGCGGCTAGCCTCAGAACCCTGACAGTGGTTGGAGGCAAGGAGGCTGGCTAGGGTGAGTGGTGGGCAGAGAGTCAGGGTGGAGAGAAGCTGAGCTCCAGGATGGGGGCTGTCCTGTGGAGTGAGCTGTTCTGATGCTTTTCTCTTTCCCTTTTCCATTTCTCTTGGCAGTCGGGGAACCTCTACCACTGCCCAAGATTGAGAATCCGAGCCAGGAGATTGTGGCCAAATACCACACACTCTATATTGATGCCCTACGCAAATTGTTTGATCAACATAAGACCAAGTTTGGCATCTCAGAGACCCAGGAGCTGGTGATACTTTGAAACACATTCCCCTGGCTGGCTGGTGTGGAACTTTTGACAACAGCAGTGTTACCTATGGAGCTTCACTTCTGACTGGAGCAGTCCTCCCTGGAGGGAGGGGTGTGTGTCCATTTGGTTGGTTTCTGTGATCACCGTTTCCACTTCCATCTCTTTCTTCTAGGTTTTCCCTTTTCCCCCGAGACAGAGAAGACCCTAGGAGAGGTTCACTGAAACCTGGGATAGAATAAACAGCCCATCTCTGGTACGGTGTGCTCTAGCTAGTCTGTTTGGAGGGCTCTAGGACCTTGTGTGTCTGTCATTCTCCTGACTTCAAGACTCTTCTTACAGGACTGGGGACCTGGAGAGCCAGGGGACATTGGGTTCAGACAGCAGCACATTCAAGACCTGTGATTTTTAGGGGGCAATCCATCACCTCTTATCATCATCCTGTTCTTCAACTGTAAAATGGGACTAATAATCCTTCCCCTGCTTACCTCAAGTTGGCAAGTTTAAATGCTACTGCATGTTACTAAACTCGGTAAACTGGACAAAAAAAAAGCTACACAAAATTATTCTCTTCCAGCCATCTAACCCATTTCCTGTCCCTAGGCAAACAATGTCTCAATTTCTAAAAGAAAGTGCAGGGTGGTATTTTGAAAGTTGAAGTAATTTGATATTCCTTGGTGACTCTGGTCCACACCTACTTCCCACCCTATAAAACTATACAGGAGTGGTCAATGGTTTAGATCTAATTTTCCCATGTCCACCCAAGAAACTAGCCTACACTACCCCGGCCCTATTAACTCTGCTGGTTATTTGATTATCAAATGGAATGCCTGGCTCCCAGGAGCCATGACGAGCTTGCTTTCTGAGTTTGAGTGGCAAGTCTCTCCCACTCTTCGCCCAGTGCTGCTGTCATTACATATGACACAATTTGGTGCACAGGCCCTCTGCAAGGACCAAGGCTGCTTGGGCTGGGAAAAGTCCCATGAACTCTTCCGAGAGACCGAGTACTGGCTAGCTAACTGTTCTTGTGATCTCCTTCCTTAAATTAGCTTCCAAGGGTTTCTCCAGCAAACAGCATGGGGCCAGGCAGCTGAGGCAGCGGCGTGGCAGAGTGGAAAGCATCCCAGGGAAGAAGCCAGGCGGAGACACTAGTTGAGTGGTCTTGGGAGAGCTACTTGACATCCTTGAGCACTGGTTTTTGTCTGCAAAATGAGCCAATTTGTATATTAATGAGGAGCTGAAGGTCAGATCTCTCTAAGCTGTTTTGGGCAAGGCTTGAAATGGTGTAGATGCCACATTCTCAAATTGAAGGTGGCCCCATGCTGTGTGTTCTTGTCCTGTGACAATATGCCTTCTGGCAAGACATCAGGCTAAGGTGAATGAACTGGAGGTGTGTCATTTGGTACAAAGAGACCACATGAGATGTACTGATAAGAATTTTAGACTAGTTTCCTTCTGGTGCTCTCACCAAAATGGGGTTCTTGATCCTTCCCGGAGCTCATGTGTAGTGGCATCATTCATGAAGAAGCATGTGACATGTAGGAAGAGCTCAAGCTGATTCATGAATGGGGAGGGGAGCACTTTATTTGCAAAGAATAAACCGTTAATTTACACAAACTTACATCCCTGTTTATATACATTATATATAGTTTATATACACAGTATCTCACACAGGATGCTGACCCCCCAAAGCAGCATTGGCCTGCTCCAGGCCATTCTCACAACAAATCCCCTCACCCTCATCTCAGCCGGAAGCGTTTTGAATAAAGAAACCCACCTCAGCCCCTCCTGGAAAGGGACCTGAAATGGATTAAGAAAACAAACCAGGTTCTGTAGTGCACATGGTCTAGGGAGACCCCAGGTAAGGGGGGGGACCTCAGGCAACACTAGGAGGCCTCAAAACTGCCCAGAGGCAGGAGCTGCACAAACCCCTTGGGGGAGTGTGTGTGAGGAGGCGAGTTCTGATGAAGACTGCAGCTGCATTCCCTGCCTGGCCAGGCTCCTGAGGGAGATAAGCACTTCTAGCCTTGAGTCTGTGGGTGTGTGAATGAGGAGGTTCCATGGGACAGGCTGTCTGTCCCTTTCCACTGCTGAGTCTGGAGAGAGGGCCATGCTCACTGTCCTAGGCAGGCCACTTTCTCTGTCTGAGCATCAGATTCACATGAATAACAGGATGGGATGTAGCTTGGGCTGCATTCCCTCTAAGAGCCCTTCTAGGTCAAAATTTCTCCAAATCTGTTTGCATCTACTAGAAGATGCATAGAATGCAAGCACTCACATGAGGATCAAAGTCCTTGCTGACCTCTAGGTCCTTAGCTCTTGCTTCCTAAGTTACAGAGATTTGGCTCTGGATGGACAGAGGGGCAGCTAAGGCAAATGCTACCTCTTCCAGGGAACCAGTAGCCAAACAACATCCAGCAGCTGCATTTTGTGCCAGCTTGGCTTCTGAAGCTCAAGCAGCTGGTAGGGGCTCCTGCCATGCAGTTTTCCTTCAAACCTGCCATCTGCTTACCCAAACATGTCCCATTCTCTATGCTAACCTTGGGGTAACTTCCCATCATAACAATTCCAAACTGTAAATCTATATCCCTATGCTATCAGTAAATGCTTCACCACCTTGCCAATGACCACAGCACAACAGGCCTCCCCACTTTACTATTTCCTTCCCCCAGCCCTCTTCCTCTTGGGCTCCTTGTGAGGGTTTAGAACGAATAAAAGGTAGTGAGTGAGAAGCCGAATTCTCCTATGATCTCCATGCACAGTGCGATGGGGTTGGCATGTCCTGCAGGGTCACACTTAGGAAACTCATTTCCTCACAGCCATCTGGCTTTAGAATGCTCCTCTCGGCTTTCCCCCCATTCTTGAGAGACTCCGGCAACATCAAGGTCTTTGTAATACGGCAGAAGTAGAAACGGGGTCACACTTAACTACAGGAAGCAGACTGGCTCCCAGAATTTGTGTCTAGGGTTAGGAATGGAAGTCCTTGCCTCACATGGCAGCTCCTCATGTGATGGCTGCTGCTTTTATCAGATGGATGAAAGATCCTGAAGGCTACCTGTGCTGTGGGACGCAGAGCTCGAATGGAAGATTCTTCTCAAGTCAAGAACTCTTAGGGTTGATCACTGGGGCTGTTTCCCAGGAAAATGCCCAAGTCTTCTTCCACAGAGCCCCTGGCAGCCAAGGGAATAGGCAGCACTATTCAGTAATGAACACTGGGCATTGCTAGGTTTCTTCCTAGGACCCCCCCAATGATGTCAGTTCCATAGGACCACCTTTCTTTGTTCCTCCTGGACCCCATACTTTCCACAGTGCTGTGGTAAGGGACTAGCTTCGGAGTCAGACCTCACTAAAGGCTCAGGTCTGTGATTTAGGCTGGATGAGATCTTAGTCAGAACACGTCACTCTCCCAGCCTTACCTATGCAATGTAACTGTGATATTCTCTACCCTGCCTTCATAAAAGAGGAAGTAAGCTTCCAATACTAAGGAGAGGGGCTGTTGGTTCCTGCTACTACTGCTGCTTGATTGTTCAAGGCCTTCAGGATCAGATGCATGTCTAAAGTTTACTTCAGTTCTGGTCATAAGGCTGCCATTAGCATTAGACAAAGGAGGCTTGGCCTATTACCTCTTGACCTGACCCTTGAAGGACCCAGCAATATGGCTACTTGGAAATGGAGGTGTAGCTGAGAAACCTGTTGCTCTTGATGAATTTCAGGGATGTATTCTCCTTCTCTTCAAAGAGAAATACATTTCAGGAGCAAGAGGAGCAGGCTGCTGAAGGTTGAGCCTCCCTGCTTTGGGCTGCACCTGGCACCCTGAAGCCAGGCAATTGGAAAGAAAGTTGGTGAATAATCCTAGCAGATGTCCATGCAGGAAAATTGGTGGAGGTGCCTTTGGATCTGAACTAGGGGTTAGAGCCCTGCCCAATAGCCAGACAGTTGGTTTGCCCTGAGTCTGGCTCTAGGAGAGAAGTTCAGACCTCTACGGTGACAGTAATCTGTTTCTAAAGAAAGACTGTGTTAGTGGGCATCAGCTGCTGTTCTTTCAGATAAGACCTGACCTAATGATCACTTGAGTTGACTTAATGATCATGTGGGTTGACCTAATGATCACTTGGGTTGCAGCAAACACGGACAAAACTCCCTGTTTTCAATTCCTACTTCTCTCCCTTTCTGGGTAAGGCAGAAAAGCCCTGCTTTGCTAATGTTTAAGAGAGTCCAGGGTTTGGGAACTCTGAAGTCTACTGTGGCAGGTAACTGTTGAGAGCCACTGATATCCAAACTCCAAGGGGCTTTTGGAAGTTATCCAGTTTAACCATCTGTTCCCAGACACAATTTTCTTAGAATTAGATGGATAATAAGTGTATTTCTGAATCAATGGAAAATTCTTTGTGCCCAGGTAATTTAAAGAATACAGCAGACTCATGTGAGCATGAGTCCCACATGAGGCACCTGTCTCAGACAGAGGTAGGCACTGTGGAGGAAGAAGACAGAAAGCTTTCTAGTCAGTCTGGGGAGGGTGACAGGTGGGAAGACTCCAGGTAGTTTTTGGAGAGTGGAGCATGGCTGTAAACAAGGTGAGACATGCATGGCCCAAGTATAGATTCGGGTTCTTACGTAGGCAGGGTTGTGGCCATGCCCGCAATGATTCCAAGGCAGAGCAAAGTTCCCAGCTCTGGAGTCCAGCAGGCTGCCACAGTGTACCTCTTAGCCTGAGTGGGAGGAGTTTTTTGAGCCTCTTGTAGGTCATAGTGCAATACAGCAAGAATGCCTCCTCTGCCGAGGATGCTTGCTTGGCAGGTTATTGCCTGGGTCTCTGCCACAAGCACTTGCCTTCTTCTGACCTGACCCTCTCCTTAAGTTGTAACCTAGTGCCACCCCCAGCTGAGAGAGGAGCAGAGCCCCCTTGGAGTCAGATGATCACACCTAGAATCCGGAGTGCACCTTTGCTTTTTGTGGCCTACGGTCTTGGATCCTCGGTTTAGTGCAACACATGGTAAATCTGATGGGGGGACCTAGGGGTTGAGGAGTCACCATAAGCCAGTCAGCAGGTCGCCTAAGAGGGTTCTGTTTCTTGAAAACCCTGGAGCTTCATCCAACCGTGCTGGCAACTCAAGGTCATTCGGGGAAGTCACGTAGGCCTTGTCATCCTGGAGTCACTGGGGAATAAATAGTACTGGGGCATTTCTCTCTGTGGCTGCAACGCCAATATACCTCACTCCACAGCAGCACTTAGAGGTCTGGGAGTCCTGGCTCCCAAACCTGGGGCCAGGGCATGGGCCAGGACGGAATGGGAGAATCTAGGATGCAGGGGCTTCGCCCAGCCTGATGGCCCCGAAGAAGGTGGTGTGCTTGCTCATATTGATGGAGATGTCGGCGTGCACCATCTTCACGGCGATTTTCTGCCTGGCCTTGAGGAGGCACACGCCTGCAGTGTAGCAAGTGTTGTAGTTGGTCTTCCCTGTCTCGATGCTGCGGGTGCACTGCAGGAAGGGCCTCTCGTCCACCACCACCTCGTAGCTGGCAAAGTCAGTGAAGTTGATGTAGTACACCTGGGTGAGAGGCAACGAGAAGGGATTGGGGGAGAGAGGAAAAAGAGGGTGGGGCCCTCCCCTGGTGAGCAGCTAAAACCTCCTCAGATGAGCTGCCAGTATACCCTGTACAGGGGGCAGTGCTACCCCAAAGTGTGCCTGTTGGTCAACAGGAGCAGCAGGGTGACAGATCCCT